AGATTCCCACTGCCCTGTTAAGGAAACAGCAACATTTTAAAAACAATATATACATTACCTTTAAAGGCCACAGTGAAGAATTTCACCTTCCAAGTAGTTGTGTTAGTTCTAAGCCTTGCTCATTGTATTGATACAACAGAGCACAATAATGGCTGAGGTGACCCTGTTACACTGGAACACAAAGACCTAGAAAAGCCAGGCTCAGCCACGGGGACCATGTGCACTCTCAGTCTTACAYACTTTCTGATGCTAAAAAAACCACCACAACAGCACCACAAAATGCTCTAGTCCAGACGTTCAGCCCCAGCACACGTCATTATTTTCCCTGTCTTGCTGCTCTAAGCAAATGGAAATCATTTCTCCAGAGTGTCAGTCACCATGGAGCTGKGGTGATGGAAGCACGGGGCATTTGCTGATGCAGCTGGGGAAACATGGGTGAGACGTTCTATCCCACAGCGGGAGAAATACACACAATTTTTGGGTTGCTACCCTCACACATAGCAACTGAAGCTAAATACAGCGAAGYACAATGTTAGTTTTACACCTGGCACAAAATGTGCTGGAAGACTCGTGACAGGAATAAAAGGCAAAGGGAACAAGCAAATCCTGATTTCAATAAYGCAAGAATAGCAGTGGAGTTGCATCAGATTCACGATAGTGCAAACTGTGTTAAAGCACAGAGCAGGCATTTAGGAATACAGCTGGTTTGACCCTTAACAAACCTGTGCATGACTTWAAAAGATGTTTATTTTTTTCTCCATCTATTCTGTACTTTACAAAGCAAATTCTAGAACCACTTCTCTGCCTGTTTACTTTCATGTAAATTGGATTAGCTCCACTGAAAGCAAAGCAGTTCCAGTTCTCTCCCACTGGTTCAGCTGAAAGAAGAATAAGACCTTCCAGCCTTATGGCAGCTGTGCTACCAGTAAAATTAGCAATATTGAACACCAGTGAGCTGGGTTAACTTGTAACTACCACTTCTCCTTTGTGACAGTCTTTTAGATATCTCCTGCTGAAAGAAAAAAAAAGCCTGTGTTTTTTCTCATCAGCTCTGCTGTTCAATTTACTGCATATGGACCAAAGGAAAACCTCCTTTCTTCTAGAGGATGCAATCTCTGAGGTGCACACTCTGCTTTCATCCTGGCTGGATCCCCAAACAGCACAGCCAAGAGCAGGGAGGCCACAGCTCTTGGTCWGTCACCAGAAATAACAGCAGAGTGGGGGAAATGGCAGCAACTAGAGAAGGCACAGTGGGATTCTGCAAACGTGGAATGAAGGCACTTTAGGGAATTGCCACCCAGCAGATTGCAACTGCTGCCCTCCCAGTCCCCACACCATTTTCAGGAGAGATGGACACTGGCCCAAACCCTTGATGGCATTCAATTTTCCACTAAATTTACTAGTCGCAAGACTGAAATAACCAGATAAATAAACATTTTTAAGTGCTTACACAGCCACATTTACCATCAATAAAGTGCTGTGTAATATTATTATGGCACTGTAAACGACGCAAAGGAAAGCACAGAAATATGGGAGCAAGAGGCACCTCCTCGAAGGAGTTGAATCCAGTCCAGYGATACATTGGAAAAATCACATCTCATACATAATTAAGTTTCTCTTGGCTTTTTATCTGATTAAACCTATTAGAAGGCTGCAGAAGAGCCTCATTTCCTTTTCCCCTCAGGTTGCCTTTGCTTGAGCACACTGAAGCCAAGCTCCTCTGGGTTCTGCRTAGGACAGGCTGGAAATCCCTGTCYGTGATTTTTGTGTACATTTGAGTTCTCCTTCTTGAACATCAGTGACCAACATTACACTTGTATTCCAAAACGGATCTCAATTTCCTTATGCATGGAATAAACAGTCTTAATTAATCAAAATTAATAAAAAGGATTAGCTTGTACACTGCAATGATTCCCTAAGCAAGTGTACAGCTTCCACTTCACCTAATGCAGCCAATTTTATTTAAAATAGGAAATTATGCCTAGGTTAGGAAAAGTAGTTTTATTTCTTTTCCTCTAAACCAAYATCACAGCTTCCTCCAAGTCTTTTCCAATATGGGTCTGACACTAACTTTTTAATTTTTCATAAAGAATGAGCAATACAAGGGACAAGACTGGAATTCTGCAATGAGCCAAAATGGATTATTTTTGCACTGATCCATCAGTAGTGTCTGATTTATGAAGAGCCTGTAAGTTTGGGAAGAGCCCCTTTGCCATCAGTGCTTTCAGTACAAGATAAAAGAACAGGTTTCATCTTCCACATGATGACCAACAGTGGTTGTGTTTCATCTGAAACACTCTAGAATGAAAAAACATCCTCAAAAGGAATTCTAGGAATTCAGTACTTGAGCRCTTGGCAACAAACTAGGCAAAAGACAGAAGGAAAAAACGACAAATTCAGATCACTTGCTGCATTACTCCTTCAACACCAATCTCCATGAAGTTAGACGAGCAGCAGATCAAGTTCTGTCCACCACTGAATCCTGCACTCTCCAACAGACTTTGTTCCCAGGAACACAAATTTCATCCCATCCAGTTATCACACAGAGGCAAAACACCACAGGATAACTGGACACAATACTACCACTGGATTAATAAACCTGTTAAAGCAGCCTACTGACTCACCAGAACACACAAAGCCACAACCATCACCATGAGGATGAAACTTGGCTTTGCATAGGTAGTAATTTTCTCCACTTTATGAAAATTACATTTTTTCCACCCTGTATTAGAACAAAACTGAAGCCTTCTTATTTTAAAGTGTGCACAGATTAAAAAAAAAAAAAATTAGAAAAAGTCCTACACAGTTTCCAGGACACCCTCCTGGAATACAGAAGATCCATCTGAACGCTGTATTCAAGAAGAGCCGCTCTCTGTCTCTCCCAATACATAGATCAAACTCATCCAGCTCAATTAATATTTAATTATCCACACAAAAGGGATCAACTTCCGCAGAACAGATAGAGGGCACATTGGCTGGTGCAATGCAGCTTTGTTCAGCAAAAGTAGTTCAGGACCTGAAAACAGGCTACATTACTTGGGATTTTGGAGCTCTTGCACATGGCACTCTTGTCTCTSTTCCCAAAATAAATTGTGCCTACCTAGTCAAAACACAGAGGAATTCAACCTGGAATTCTTGTACTCTTGGCTGTACCAGTCTATATTGCTCATGAAGGAAGTTGTCAATTTTGAGGTTGTCAGAAATAAGTTGTAGAATTTTAAAAAGAATATCAAAGCCTGAAGCTGTATTTCTTCATGAAGTCACTAAGGGTGAAGACTGGTGAGAGCTTATCTAAAACCAGACCTGAGGCACCAACATCTAGTGCATCCAAACTCAGGAATAACCAATTTTTTGCTTAATATTTGTCAACTGAAAATGCCCCATTGAGCTTTTCTAGTTGTAAAAGACTGATAGTTGTAAAAGAAGCTACCCAAGCAATTATTACACCTTTGAAAAATGAAGATGAATCAGCTGTTGGAAGACTCTGAATATGGAGACTCAACATAAGAGATGCTTTCCAAGCATTCATKTGGCATTTGTTGCAACCTTGAAAGGCTCTGGGCCACTTCACTTGGAAAACAATGGGAAAACAAGAAAGCACAGAGATGAAAAGAGAAGCAATCCAAACAGCCACTTTGACTCCTTAGACCTTCAAAACCTCTCTCCTAGTATAAGATTATTCCCAGATAACCWAACAGCCCAATTAAAACGTTGGGTATGCACTTAATCTTTTGATTTTTGCTTCCTTATATGGATTTCCATACCCCCACAAATAAACCTTTCAAAATCAGAGGTGAGACGAAGCAGATGTCCTCGGTTCTGCTTAAATATAAGGCCAAGATGCTATATAAAATCCCCCACTGTGTGGAGATCCAGGCAATATTCCAAGCACAATGGGGTGGGGTGAGGATGATTTTGTTCAAATTCTCCTCTAGACTGGATTCTCTCATGCTCCYGTGGTTATAGGTACAGAATCTTCCCTCTGGGATAAAAAGGGGCCTAAAAGCATCACCTCTTTCAAAAGAGATTTTCTTCGCTGGGTCAAAGCCCTTGCACAAGTCCCTGAATACATGTCTGCGTGTTATCACAATCTGTAACAATTTGTCTTGCTCATGTACAGTGTTGGTTAAAATGCAAATTCTATGCAAAATGAGGGACTGAAGAATTCATCAGCGCACGCTGTGTATGGATTAAATAATTGCTCTTCATCCTGTAAGCAGTCCCCCCCATTTCAGTGGGGTAACCCAGGTTATAGCAACTAACATAAAAGAAGGGGAGGGGAGAATATCTGTAAACCCATRTATGTCATAATTATGCAGCACCACAGGCATTTCTCCTCCTAAAGGAGAGAGTAATCCCAAACAGAAATAAATAGCTGCCTGCAATTAGAGCCATTAAAAAGAGATTACCTCAAGCAGGGGGTTGAGGCAGCAGGCAGGGCACACTATACCTTGCAAATCAACCATTTGTGACAGAGAGATTGGACACACAGAGAAAGTGCCCTGGGAACTGGGTGTGGCTGCACAAATTCACGTTTTCACCCCGTTATTTGTGATTAGCATCACCGAATTACCACGGATGGCACAATTGCCAGCAATGGATCTCTCTATGACTGTTTATAACATGACCTTAAGAAACATCACCGTAAAAAAAAAAAAAACCACGAAGGTTTATAAACCTGCATCTCTGGAGCTTGAAGGAAAAGGGATGGCAGCACATGAGCCAATACCATCTTCTGTCAAAACAAACCACCCGCTCTCTTAAGGGCAGCCGAGGGAAACCTGCGCTGAGCAGCACCCACTGCCGCCTGACAGCAGCTTCAACAGAACAAAAAATACACAAGACCGCTGGGCTCAGCCATCCGGCCCGGTTATCGCAATGCTTATCGATTCCGCATAGAAACAGACGGGAGAAACCCTTGCTAGTGGAGCACCGGAGAGCAGTGACAGCCCCCGGTTCTGCGACCCCAAGCACCGCTCCCCGCCCGGTCCCGGTCCCACCTTCTTGGGTCTCTTCCTCCGCTGGCTGCCGCCGTTGCACTTCTCGCCGCCGTCGCTCTTCTGGGCCGCCTCCTCGTTCATCGTAGCGAGCGGCGGTGCCGGCGCCGCTCCGTGCCATGCAGGATCCGCGCCCAGCCCCAGCCGAGGGTGGCACCGGCGGGGCAGGGCCGGGGGCGGGCACAGCGACAGCGGCGGCGTTGCCGTGGTGGCGGCGGCGGGGCGGGGACGGNNNNGGACGGCGCGCCCGGGCAGCGGGTGATGCTCCGGGGGAGAAGCGATGCTAGAATCACACACCGGTTAGGGCTGGAAAGGGCTCGTAAAGCTCATCTCCTCGTTCCAGCCCCCTGCCATGGGCAGGGACAAGCTCCATAGATGGATTGCTCCMAGCAACCTGCCCCGTCCAGCCTGGCCTTGGACATTTCCAGGGATGGGGCATCCCTGCGGCACTGCTCACACACCGTACCTGTCCTCAAAGCCCCGAGGTGTTTGGCCACAACTCTAACATCCAAGGGATGATTCACTGACAGGATCAAAGCAGACAATGGCAGCGTGATTGGCACAGCACAAGGCGTTAGTTTGTACTACTAAAATAAATCACCTCCTCCTTGGGCTGGGAGAACAACACAGCAAYATTCACATGTAAATGCATTCTTGTATTTCTTCTGATGAATACTTTAAAAAGAAAAAAAAAACGTTCCACTTCCAACTAGAAAAAAACAGCCGAGTAACTTGCCCTCCTTCTCAAACAGCAGTGAAGGCTGGGGAACAAAAGAAAAAACTCCCTTTTACTGCTTACTCAGCAGAGGAGAGGCTGGAGAAAGTGGAAAGGAACCAGTGAGGCATGAATTCACTCTCCCACAATYGCGCTGTCTGCGAACACAACGAACATCTGCAGCACAACAACAATGTGAGCAGTGTAACAATCTCAAAATCTTTTTTTTTTTCTTTCCCTTACTTTAAGAGCGACTTCTTTGTTACTGTGAGCAGTAGTAAATTCTAGACTAAAACGAGAAATAACTCATGTAGAAGTAAGGGRAGCTACAGATCTTGAAGAAGGCGGGTGCTATACAACACTGCATCTGTTGTGCCATAATTAGAGCTGCATTCACAGTCACAGCAAGGATTTTGGGGAAGAYGTACAACAGTCATTTGTTATCAGCGTCAGACATCCATGGAATTCATCTGGGGAACCTGTGGAGACGCAGTCATTCTTTTAATTTACAAACATGCCTGCTCTACACACAGRTGCTAATTTTTTTAAGAGAGGCCATCTCCCATTCCTCATTTTAGTCCAATTTTGAACAAATTCATCTCCATGCCCAGCCCTTTTCCATACCAAACTAAGTCACTTACAGTCTTTGTCTGATTATTCCCAATAAGTGATTACTGGATTAAATACACTGTTGAAGTATGTGGCAATGATGGATTGTGTGTTTTCTTCTTACAATGTTTCTTGCACAATTAAAAAAGTGAAATCACTGATATTTCTGAATGTAAATATGAAGTAAACTTCAATCACATGATGGTTTTTGTAACTAACAATCACAAAAGATGGTTCTGAAACCAGAGGTGATACTGCCATGATGTAACGGGGACGAAGAACACATTTACTCAGCCAAATCCATCACTTGTCCCTCTGTCCCTAAAAAAGATGGGACTTACTGCTATATTTTCAATTCTRTATTTACTTTCAGTCTCCAAGCTAGAACATAACAAGGAAACAGGATTGCCAGACTTCCAGRATAGCCAGGAAATGAGCAGATTTTCCCCAGAGACTTTAATGATAAAGGCTTGATGCCTGGTGAAAGGAAGAATTCTCTGGGAGTCACTGTGAGTAGCACAAGGGCAGCACCCCGGGGAGGCAGCCAGTGCTAAGTGCAAGCTGGAAGGTGTGAGACAGAAATACACAGTTTGAGCATTTCCAATTTCCATCCAAAGCTCCACATTTCTCACCTGACCTTTCCTATTTTTCTGTCAATACATGAGCATTGCACTGTCAGACCACTCCCTGGAGAATCAAGGGSACAGTGTGGCAGTGCCCACAAACAAAATACTGGAAAAGCTTGTTGTGACAAATATTTCAGCTACAAAACCACCCTAAATTCACGGGTACAAGTTTGCTGAAGGACAACCACCTCATCAACCTGAACTGCTCTTAGCTCCTGTCCCCAAATCCCAGGCGTTCACCTTTGGCAATGCAGCTTCAGGTGTAGCCAAAGCAAACAAATGCTCTTGCTCAGTAAAAAACATCAGTATTCTTCATTTCCCACAATCCCAGAAATGCAGCATGAAACCAAACCAACCTAACCTAACCAGTCAGGGAATCACAGCTGGTGTCAACTGACAACAGGTCTAATAACAGCACAAAATCAGGCCTAAGAACTACACAAGCTGCCTCAGAAATAACCAAACAGCCAAGTCCTATATATTCAAAACTCATTTAAAGCATTCATACTCATTTAAAGCATATAAGAAAAAAAATATAGCATGTGTATTCCATTTCCCTCACAAAATTCATTAGCTAAAAAAAAACATGTGGATATAAACTTCAAACACACGGAATTACACAGAAAATAATTGTTAACTTGCTTGAAACAGGGCTGCAGTCACAGAGCTGATCAGCCCTGAGCAGTTTATAAAGGAAATATCAGCTCTCCAAACTGTACCTGTGAACCCACAGAACCAGCAACAATGGCTGATGATTTATGGTGGGGCAGTTCTGCTGAATGAGGGTTTAGCTGAGCAGGGATCAGTGTGTGCAGAATTGCCCTGGATATATCCCATCAGTTATGTTGTTTCCAGGCTGTATTCCTTACACCTGAGTCCAGCTGCTCAGCTCAAGTGCCTTAATCCACCCCCATCTGAAGCCCAGTCTGGTGTAACAACCTGTCAGGTTAACAACATACAACGACCTCCTTTCAATGGCTCTGATCAAGGGGATTTCACCCYGGATAAAATTTACTTCACAGAGCTGAAAAGCAACAATGCAACAGCATAAAGCAGCTCCCTCCAAGTCCTTCAGCAGCGTGCTGGTCATTCTGTCTGAAGCACTGGCAGAAGCTTCCTGCAGTCCAGCAGCATCCAGGGCAGTGGCACTGAAGGAATCCCTTTAATTTGATGAGTGTGGTCAGTCAGAAGGGCTTCCTTACCAAGTCTGCCTGGGTGTTTTCCAGCCCCTGAACCCTCACTCCCAAATTCATTCACATTGTGGTGTAAACTGAGGCCAAAGGAGAGTGTTCCTATTCCAGCTGCTGGTTCCTATTCCAGCCTGCACTGAGCAGTGTCATGGTGCAGCTGTGTCACCGCTTGCTGTGCAAGATARCAGGCTTATCACTACCTCAGGCATGTCTACACCATCAGTCTGCCACAGGATTTGCCAGAGTCATTCCTTAGAGCAGCATTCTCATGGCTTCCACAATTAAAAWATTCAATCCTACAAGACCAGCTCCATTCCTGCTGAATTTAATAGCAGCAGACCCATAAAAGACAGTTGTTACAATGGTGGGAATTTAAACAATAAAAATTAGAACCTTATCCTTTAGCTGAACTACAGCTTCTTTCTGCATCCTGACCCGACTTCATATTCTGCACCTGTAATATCTACACTTTAAAAAAAATATATAATTTCAAATTATGTTGTCAGCAAGCCAAAAAACTTCCACCTTCACTTTTTGGAAACTGAAAGCCAGAGTTATTTTATCAATGTGTCAAATACAAATAGAAGAGAGTAAAGACCAAGAAAGGCTCTTTTCAGTGGTGCCCAGAGAAGACAATGGACACAAATTGAAATGCAAGAATTTCTATTAAAACATAAGGAACAACACTTTAAAAGTAAATGAATAGATTACCTAGCTAGACTACGAATTCTTAATCCTTAGAGATACTCAGAACTTTATGAGGGATGGCCCGAGCAATGCGCCCTGGCTGACCCTGACCCGAGATAAGGACTGGATTATGTGATCTCCGGAGCCCCATCTCCACTATGCCTGTCCTAAAAGCAAACCCTCTGCATTTGTCACACCACAGTGGCTGTTAAAAACATTAAAACACTCAGCTATTCCAGCTGAGTAATTGCAAATCCTGYCATTGTTACAACRGTGACACCTATATTCTGTCAGACGYTTCAATGCTTATAATAAACCCCCCTCTAAATAGCAYGTGTGGTGAGCACTCTGTGTCTGCTCAGCAGTGCACCACAGATAATCATTTGGGATTTCATCGACCCACCGCTACAGGAGCTCTGCCGGTTACCTTGAGCTGAACCTCAGCTTCCATCTGGCCCATCCTGATAAGAGAGCGACAATAGAGCAAAGCAGAAGGGGGTGAAAAAGCTGCCTATGGTTTACCACTGAGTCATGAAATCAAGCTGTAATAGGAAAGAGATAAGCAATGCATCTATTTAATTATATTTAAATATSTGAACAATTATTTTTATGATGGTGAACTTAAATAACACTTATCACCCAAATGAGCATTCTTACACATTGTTACATAACTGTTCCCTATTTATTTCCTCCTTGACRTGTAAAGGACAAACACAAACTCCTAATAAGTAGATTCCTTCAACAACATGCCATAGCTTTCTATTAAAAATCACTGACTGGGTTGGAAAGGACCTYACAGACCATCCTGTTTCAACCCCCCTGCTATAAGMAAGGACATYTTCCACAGACCAGGTTGTTCCAASCCTGGCCTTGAACAATTCCAGGGATAGGAATTAATAATTTAAGCCAYAGCTTCYCTGGGCAGCCKGTGCCAGGGCCTCACCACTCTCACAGGAAAGATTTTCTTCCTAATWCCCAATCTAACCYTGCCTCCTGTCATTTTGARGCCATTCCCTCTTAYCCTTGTAGAAAAATAACCTGCTGTGTTTAAGAAGCACTGGAATGCTACAGAGTTTAAAACAGAAAACAAAGTGATCTTTCTTGAATCTGGGTTTCTGTTGGACAGCCATGATTGGTCATCTGAGGATGGAAGGATAGCCAAAAAATTGGCAGCCATCTTCCAGGAAATACATTTGATGTGTCCTTCCATTCTTATATGGAATTAAATGTTTGAAAAGGAAAATCAGTAACACAACAAATCAGGAATCTCAGCTCCATTTTACTCCTTATTAAAGCAGTTYC